CTTAGATTTATGCTCATTCCCCTGTTTTTAGATAATTCCCTGGATATCAGCATGTTCTGCACAAGCTTCTAATTTTTCCCTTATTATTTTCTTGGTCTGTTTGTAAATTGTTCGATAATGCTGTTCAGCTGTCTCGTTCAACTTCTGTGTTCTCATTTCGCATATTCTTTCTTTTGTTACAGTGAGTTTAAAAATATTTCTAAGGTGTTAAAATGAGATCAGTCCTAGCTTTATTCGGTGTTAGCCTCTTCAGTTTGCTGAACTGTGTTCACAGCTTGTGGTCAGTTTCTAGTACTTAAGCATTTTAATCCAAGTCAGCCTCAACTGTTGTCTCCATGATGCTTTCAAGATATTTTTCTAGAAATGCTTTATGTGCTAACTTTGTTCAAATATTTAGCTATCACAACAAGATTTTCTTCATACTGTTGTTTTGCTGCTTGCTTTGCCTACAAAGAGCTGTATTACCAAAGTAAATTTAAGTAAGTTGTGACTTATTCTGAATTTCGGTATTCTAGGAAGAATTCCCCCCCCCAGGTTGCTTTTTTTGCAGGGGTGTATGAATATGTTGTAGTTGGGGGTTGTTAAACAGCCCAGAAGCTAGAGGAAACTTCAAGGATGTATTTGAAGCCTGTCCTGTCTCCTCCCATATTACAGTGTGTATCTTGAGCTCCTGTCTGTTGTAACTTCCCAGATACTTGGAAAGCTGTGCGTATGATCTTGTAGCTGAACTTCTTCACTACCTGAAGTGATTTGATGCTGGGATTGTTATCATAATTGCGCGTATTTTTAGGCTGAATGATAGCTCAGTCTGGTGTGGGTTTTTTTATAATATTCTGTTAAAACGGCGAGGTTGGACTGTCAGTGTTCTAAATGTGAATGTCCTATCCTCATGAACTACAATTTGAAACTGTCCTATAATGAAGTTTATTTTTTGTAATGTTAGACTTTCCCCCAAAACGGTTGATGTCTGTCAAATCTATGAGAGCATTGATACAAAAATACCTTGCTTGCAAATCAGTTTGTTTCAATGGGTATCCAACTCCCTAATGCATTTTTTATTTCAAAATGGTACTTGAATTTGACTGCAGTTCTGCGCAGTCAGAAGTCTGACTTCTTTTTGGAATATGTTGCCCTCTTTTTTACAGATAAGCTGAATTGTGTATTCTAAGCCAAATCTTCCAGCCATTCTTGAAGTAAACCTGTACTGGGGTCTGTACTGTGGTGAGGGCTATGTGATTTGGTCTCTTCCTCCTATCTTGTATAATTACAACACAGTAGATTGGTAAAAGTACTGTACGCTGTAACCGGTATTAGAACTGTTCATTAAAACATGTTCTGTCTAATGGAGTATACTGCACTTCATTGAAATCATTAGGAAGCATCTTTTTTTGTAGAGGTGCTATTTGTGTTGATGGATGTGACTGAGAACAAGCTGTGTAAGATGTTAATGAAGCCATATGTACAAGGCCTGTGTATCTTAAATTTTATAAAGAAATACTGAACACTTACTCTTTGTGTTATGAAGTATAAGCTATTTATATTTAATATAAACATCTAAGATGTAATTTACTTATTTTATTTATGATAAGAAATCTTAACTTTGGAAATTATTTCTGTAGTAGGGAAAATGTAAAATTTTTCCATTTTTATCATTGTGAAATAAATTTTAATTGGTGTTTGGGAAAGAACTGAAGACTTTTTCCATACTTACCTGAAAGCAGTCGAGCTTTCACGTGCTGTGAAACAGTCACTTTAGAAGTGTCTTGCACATGTGTTGCATGGTAAGGTATGCATGATGTTACAATACAAAAGAACGATGATTTGTAGTTACTGAAAAGAAAAAAAAATCACAAATTTATGTTTTGCTACCTTGTTGAGAGAATGCTAATTATGATTTGATTTTTTTTTTTCATATTCTTGGGTTAATTTTATTTTAACTTGTTTTCTTGGAATTTGTAGTAATTTTGAAAGGTAGATGAAATTAAAATATTTTCTGGCAGCCTTATTCTAGGACACTAAGGAGCCAAAGTCTTGCTGTGTACTTCTGCACCTTTCTTTGGGGGTTCTGTGATGTCGGGGAGCCTTCAAAATTCTATTAGGCATGGCTTACGTACCACTTAACGTATTTGGTAAAGAAGCAGCTTTCAGGTCAGGGGTTACATGTGCTCTCTGGGTTAACTATAATGCTTGAGGCTGATCAGTGGTACACATAGTGTGGGGCACTCTGGAGAAAACTTGAGATTATCTAGGAAGAGATGCTGAAGAAACTTGAGAGAGCATAGCGTGTACATGTGGTAAAGGTGGACCTTCCCCCTCAAGCAGTTTAAAGCAACTAAAAGGCTGCTTGGCTCCGTAGACTCTGATGTCTAAAAGTCAGTGTGGAGTGCAGTTAGGAAGTTCATGAATACATGGAAATGCACGTCAGGTGCAGTGCTGTCTGTGAATATTTTGTGACAACTTAAGGGTGGAAGAATAGCCAGGAACAATAGAGATGCAACACTGTACAGAGTAATTTTGTCAGTTTCAATTTCAGTTTTTATTTACTTTCAGGCCTGGCAACCCTGAGAAGATAACTGTGAAGGAGAAACCTTGCCTAGAATTAGCACAGTAAAAAATGACAATGCACTATTTTATTAAACTTCATCAAATACAATATGAGACCAAGTGAAGAAGAAGGTGACTGAAGAATTTTTCAGAATGTCTGTTGGTTAGCTTGGAAATGGGATTCTTTGAAGAAGAATAATTGCTGGAGAACAGATTATTTTTTTCCTTTTTTCTTTCTTTTTGTTTCCCTTGCTTGCCACTCTCATGTTACCACCCTTTGCCTTTGGGATAACAGGTTTATTAATTCTCTTTGAGTGAAAAAAGTGCCTTTGATGCAGCTGATGAAAGCTGATTCAAACAAAGTACTTGTATAATTTAATGGACATCCACAATGTGAATCAGTAGATAGTGGTTTTTTCTTCATTCCAATTATTTGAGAAGAGCAACCCATTGCCCCTCTTCCTCTGCAAAATTTAAAAAACTTAAAACTTCTAGCCGGTTTGCTGAGGTGTAGTGAACCTTTGCTTCAGGCATCTTAAGTGGGAGGTTTAGCTTTTCCGTGTGGAGCAGGTAGACTTCCCTCAGGGCTCGTTCAAGGTTCTTATTCTAAAAGGCTACTTGTCTGCCTTAACAGATGGAGCAGACGGAGGCTAAAAGTTGGAGTTTGAATGTTCCCTGGTTGTGAATATGAGCAAACTCTTAAAGTAGCTTCTACCTGAAATCCTTTGCTAGCTATGTTGTAGTATTTAAAATTATTTTGGGGGATCTTTAAAAGGCTTAAATATTTTCAGTCTATGTACAGAGAATAAGTAGAGGTTGCCCCGGAATAGAGAACATGGTTTATCTAAGTGACAGTCTAATAATACGACCTTAAAACCAAAACCATTTTCTTCAATATTTTTTATTTTTCATGTTTAACTGCCTCCAGTTACTGCTTCTAAGTTGGAAAAAAAAGTGAAGACATTTTGAAAATGAACTAAATAACATACTAAAACCACCAGAATTTGAAAATAATACTTGGTCTGACTTCAGGCCATAGCATTATAATTGGGAGCTAGTCCAAGGAAATACAAAAACCAAAACCCTACCTGCTGAAGAACAACAGAAACAACTTCTCAAGATGCACGTTAATGTTTCAGAAATTTTTGAGGAAAATCTTGCCATTAAGAGGAATCAAAACTTCCATTTGCTGCAGCTCCCCTCTCATATCCATGGTTGGACTCGTCTCTTCTTCCCCTGTAAAGGTCGGGGATCAGTTGGCTGATTCCGACCAGCTGAAATTCTGTTTTGGTAGACCTAAGTCATGGTTACACTGAGGGCTCAAAGAGGAGAGGCACAATCGGTAGAACACATGGTTACATAAAACCTTCTAGAAGGCTGGGAATTTTAGATTTTGCATAGTTGTGTTAACACTTGACTAGAGGAGCTTTTTCCATACAGAACATTAGTCCTGAAAATGGAGTATTTTAAGTGCCTTGATAGGAGTTCAGAGATCCTTCACAACAAATTTTGTGCGTGCTACTGTTTCCTCCCCCCACCCCAATACGGTGTCTCAGAACAAAGGAGACTAATTAGTAAAAACCTACAACGCTTCATATGGGCATCTGCTTAGGAGAGTCATCTCTGCCTTTGAAGTCTTAGTAATGTGGGAAGTCCTGTGGTCCAGCAAACGCACCTAACTCACTAGAGTTAACTCCCGGTTCTTGGCAGAAGCAAGCGTACGATGCCTTTTAGAAAACATTGCAAAAGAACGGTAAGAATATGCTGTAACAGGTAAATGTAGAGCAAGAAATAGTGTGTTATTTCTTCTTTCTAATTTTTTTTTTAGGAGAAAGCAGCTAAACAGAAAGGAACAAGGTTGCATAGGTTTTTTTTAACTTTCTTTTAGTCTTTTTTTCCCTCTCCTACTGTTCTTTTGTCTTACAATGGCATGTTATAGAAGAGACTGGTGCTGTACAGAGCTGCTTGGTTTAGAACCAGCTAAAAGAGAATGACCGTGGAGAGCACTGTGTGTTTCTTTGCAATAAAGAATTGTTATCCCGAGGATGATAGAGCAGCTAATAGAAAGAATCTGGTTAGTACTCGTTAACAGGGTACCATTCTCATATTGTAGCATGCAGTACAAATCATGTGGGCTGTGTTTTGTTTTCTTTTAATGCATCCATTTGCAAAAAAAAAGGATATGCATTACCATTTTCTTAGTCTTTGATTTCCCTACTGATGCTTCTCTGATGCTGCTTTTATTAGTTTAGATGTTAAACAATCGTGACCTGCGTTCCCCTTACTGTCCTGCTGCAGGCCTTTTGTCAGTGCTATATAGCATTTAATTTACTGCTATTGTTTCCTTGCCTGGTAACATTTTGGATACTAATAGATTTCATCCGCATTTTTTAACTCTTTCCATGCGTTTCCAATGAAGAAGGTGTTGAATTGTATTTCTTTTAAAGAAATTAATATTCAGAGAATCGTAGAATCATTTAGGTTGGAAAAGACCTTTAAGATCATCAAGTCCAACCGTTAACCTAACCCTGCCATCCCACCACTAAACCATGTCCCTAAGCACCTCGTCTGCCCGGCTTTTAAATACCTCCAGCAATGGGGACTCGACCACCTCCCTGGGCAGCCCGTTCCAGTGCCTGACAACCCTTTCTGTGAAGAATTTTTTCCTAATGTCTAACCTAAGCCTGCCCTGGCGCAACTTCAGACCATTTCCCGTCGTCCTATTGTCCATTACCAGGGAGAAGAGGCCGACCCCCACCTCGCTACAGCGAGGAAGACTTCATTCCAGAACTTGAATATGCGCCTACTGTAGAACAGGTATGCAGCTTGTTTACCATATACTGTAGCAGTACATTCTGTACTGCTTTTATCATTGAGCTGGTTGTGGGGAAAAATGATAAATTTCATTTGAGGTTAGCATCTTATTTAACCTGAGTTGATTATTGCGGGTACTAGGTTACTGCATCTAGACAAAGCGGAATTAAAACCTGAACTGGCACAATCTCTTAAACGTTGTGGTGAGCGCTGCTGTTTTGGTTTGGTGTTTTTTTTTTTTTCCTCCCCCCTCCCCAAAAGAAAAGGTGTTCTTTTCCTTAAGGAATCATCCCTTTGTTGTTTTGTTGGGTTGTTTTTTGTTTTTTTTTTTTCCCTTGGGCAGAACAAACAAAAAAGCTGCAGACGAAGGTTCTGTATGCTTGTCCAGTTCATGGCCCAGATGTAACCTGTGGGAAAATCCTCTCTAGCTCCCAAATAATTGTAGCTGCTTTTAATGTGCCTGTGTACGCGCAGGCCTTTCCGCTGGCAGGTGCTGTGCCCGTTGCGTGCCCTGAGCCCCACGTGGAAGTGCCCGAGAACCACCCGTCTCTGGCTTGGAAGCACAAGGCAGTCTTGCTGCAAAGTGCACGACACGTACGTGCGGGGCCCGTTCTGGCTGTAATCGCTTCCTCGAGCGTCGCTTCAAGGAAAAGGCCTAGCTCGCCTCTTCTCCAAAACGTACAACTCGGGCATCCACAGCGTTCGGTGGCTGACAGTAGGTTCCAGAAGGATGCATAAGCACCCTCCTGCGCCTTAGTAGGGGGTTGCCTTCATGTGCTCTTTCTGTAACCTTCAGCTAAGCTTAGCCTGTTCTTGAAGTAAACGCTTTTACAGCAAAAATAGTTTAAGGACGCTGTTCTTTTCGGCAACAAATCACAGTAACGGGGCATTTTAACTCATCTGCCCCGTTGATGGCACATAATGGGAATTTGTGGAACTTGGTAAATGCGATACGTCCCCCTGGAACACACACAAGATTTAGGCTAGTTTTAAGACGTCGAAGCACTGTGGCACATCACGGTGTGATGCTCGGCCCGTGCAAAAGTTTATCTCCATCTCCCTGGTGCTGACACTGAGCTTGTGAATTTGAAGTCCTCCCTCTGTTTTACAGGGAAGCAACTCCGTAGGGACAGACTTCAAGGAAGACCTTTATCCTGACAGGGAACGGGGGATTTTTTCCGTCCGCGTGACGCTAACGAAATCGAGCGTCTGTTGTAATTCCTTAGGGCCTGGGGGCGGCGGAAGAAACGCGGGGCACGACCGGGAGGGGCGGCAGGTGAGGCGCAGTTCGCAGTCAGAGCCGCCGGTTGTACTTCTGTCGCGTTTGGGGATTTTGGGGGAAT